ATTTTATTCCACTCCAACCTTCTGTTGTACAGCACTGTTCTCTGATCCCCATCTTTTCTTTTTCTGTACCTCTTCTTTGGGTAATCTCACAAATCTATTTATCTGAGCTGCTGAGTTACTGGTCCACCTTTTAATTACAGACTTGTCTCCTTTTATCTGAGCAGTGATCTACACCCACTTCTCCTATTCTCCCCTCCATGTTGCACTGGCTGAGGTTTGCCTGATGTCTCAGCACATGAAAGCCACACAATCTATATCCTAATCCTCCATTTTGGATAACCAAGCCTCTGTGGCCCTTTCATATGTGATGCATCTAAATCTCGTGGACGATTTCTGCAGTGCTTAGCTAAGTTACACCACTTTCCTTTCCAGCCACATTCACAACGCTTACCCAGGCTTTTCACCCACATCTCATTCATCACTGTGCAGTTGCTGTTTTTATTCTGTTTGTGTAGCACCTAGCACAGCACTACCCTGTCATTATTATAATGAGAAATAGTTATAATAATTATTACTGTGTTTGAACAATATCTGGTAAACTCGTGAGCTGCTCATTTAGAATGTAATGCATTATTCCTCCTATTTCACTGACGTGTGATATTACACGCATGGAGTATTTACTCTAAATGCATTAATGACTAAGTAGTGGTTTATTTTGTTAATGTTATCTTGCGATTTATTTAAAACATGAGTATATGGTTTAAAATGATTGATATTTACAACACAATTATTACAGCTTACTTGAAGGAATGCAGACCAGCTTTTTGATGTTAACATCTCAAATTATGCAAAATGTAAACAATTTATAAGTGGATTCATACTTCTTCTCATCAGGACAAGCTCATCTTGTGCTTAAAATCAGAAAGTGAAAGATAAAATTGTTCTCTACCTTATTTTTTTTCTTCGAAATGATGAAACAAGTTAGAATGCTTTCTAACAACTTGGAAATATTAAAGTGCCCAGGGACAGGATAGGGATGATGTTTTGAAGGCAATAAATATTTCAGCTTCACATTTCAGTCTTTCTTCTTCATTCCTTTGATCTGGCTTTGGTTTAGTTATCATTCCGCCTGAATGACTTCACACTGTCTTTCTTCCTCTCCACACCAGAAAGAAGTGTTCTGCACACATCCCAGATGTTTGGGTGCTCTTGCTGTAAGAGCATTGTTGTTCCTCATTGTTTGCTGGTAATAACTGTCTCTGTTGTAAGATGCACAGACTGCAGCTAAGATGGATGTGCGCAGGGCCAATATATAATTTACACAGGAAGCTGGTAGTAAACTATCACTGTTACAAATAGTAGAGCATGAGCAGTAAAATGGTATATTTCAGAGCATTTTTCTGTAGCAGCAAACTAAAGCAGGAGCCTTTTCTTTCTACACACGTGGTGCATTAGGCCTTAATACATCATATATGTGGTTAAAATAGTCTTCGTGCCTAGCAGGTGAGTTGTGTGGTGTATTTAATGGTCATCACGTGTGACTGAGCAGCAGTGCCATGAATCTTGCTTTTGGCTATATATTGGTAAAGTGCTGCCTTCGTGGAGTCCTGGAGCAGGGTGAGATGCTCCAAGGTCAGACAGTGGGATGATGGGATGGCTTCTGTGAGGTTTGAGTGTGGGAGTGTCTGTATCCAGCACAGGTACTCGTGTGTTTGTACATAAAAGATACCAATGTAGATTTTCTATATCTATGATAAAAGTTGATTTTTGCTGCTTAGGATTCTGTGTTTTAGGTTGTCTGATGAGATGCCATCCCTCTAAACTTCTAGAACGTTGAGATTTTCTTCGCAACCTATTACTTTTTCCTATTACTGAGAAGCCCTCTAAGCTCTGCCCAGGGTGCTTGCGTGCAGATTTGCCAATGGGATATGAAACTTGGTCCACGTGTGGCTCCAGGGTACTTCTTTTGTGCTTAATGCAATCTAAGACTTTAAAATCTGTTGAAGACTGAGAGAGATGCTGCTCCCACTCCTTGTTTGTTGGTGGTCAGCTTTCCTTTTTATGTAGGGCCTGGTGAGAACCTTTTGGCTGGAGGACCCTGCAAATAATACTGCTGGTTCATGCTACGTTTGCTGGAACATCTTGAATTTATTTACCCTCTCATGTAAATCACTGCCTTGCCCTGTGTTTCATTAACTTGCAGTGCTGCAGTGCCTTACTGCATTCAGTTGTTACCTCTTGGAAGGCACTTTACGAAGCAAGGAAAATATTTCTGATTAAGCATGAAGAGGTATTCAAGATGTTTATATTTGCCATTTATCAGTCAGCTTCAGAGTGCTGCTTTCTGAAACTGCAATTCTGGACTTCATAGTCCACTTTCACTGAGATGGTCTGTGCTGTATAAAATTGCTAATTCTGTTGCCATATCTTTTGTACACTGAAACAAGAGGAATTTGATGCTTTTAAAACTGAGGACAAAGAGTAAATTCACACTATTTTCATATTCAAGCCAGCTCAGCTTTAGGGGGTTTAAGTGATGTAATTGTATTGTATTCAGCCCCACAACTAAACCAACTGAAAAGAAGTCTTCAAAGTGAATATTGTAGTGCTTCATGCTAGGCACATTGCTCAGTGGCTTGGGGAAAAAAAAAAGTGCAGCTTTTCTTATATTTGTGAACTGCAGTCCATTGTTGTGCATGTTTTCTCAGCTTCTGTACAAATCTTACACACACAGAAAGTAGAGCTTGCTCCCCCATCCTAAAGAAAATAACACAAAGAATTGTTCCTAGTTTCAATGAGGTGTTACATCTATTCATGGCATTAAGTCCTTAAATGAAAGGAAGGTGCATAAATCCAATCCTGAAAAGTTGATCTTGTAATATTTCAAAATAAAAATAGACTCCTTGGGAAGGAGATGCGTACATCTGGAGGCTCGCTAGCAGCTCAAGGACTGGCATCTTCTCCTTTTATGTTTAAATCTGTTGCATTTCCATCTGCCTGGGCTGAAAATGTTCTTCCTGTGCCTCTTGACAGTTAATCAGTGTTGGAATAAGCTTTGGTTTTGTTTTCTGTGTGGAGATGGAAGTATTAGATGTATTTTGTGGGGAGGAAGAAGTGTTATGCTGTGCTCATAAACAAATGAAGGATTGCTGGGAGATGGTGATGCATTCCCCTCTGTTTCCTCTGGGGCAATGCTCAGCTGCTGCCCATCTCTGCTCTTGCAGGATGCTGAGCCAGATGAATCTCAGAAGGTCCTTCGTTCTCTTCGTATTCAGTCTCATGAATTGCTGTAGATTTTGCTATGGGAGAAGGTAATGATGTGCTCACTGTACTTCAGTCTCCAGCAGCTAAAACCTTGGGAAGTTCTGTGCTCAGCAGCATAGTTCTAGTTATGTGCATTTCAGGGGAGCCATGAAGCCAAGGGCTCTGCAGGTAGCATCAGTGCATCAGCTCGCATGGACCTTGCTTACCTTCTGAGATCTGTCTGAAGGTTTTTGTGATTGCACTTATGATTGTGATAAGTTACGTTTGTGCCATTTGAATTTAGGCAGAAAAAAACGCGCGCATCCTTAGCAATAATCACCAAAATGAGAATGTGATGTGGGAGTTTTTGTCTTGGCCCAGTTTCTGTCAGGTAAAAAAGGTTTGTTTTGTTTTTCTTAACGTAAGTATCAGTCTCTTTACAGACAACAGAATAAATTAGGCATAAGGAGGGTACCAAAACCAAACAATTTTCTTCAAATATGCGTAATGGAGAAAAATATAGCAAAGAGTAAGGTGCTCACATAGGGCTTGTGGCATTTCTTTGATAGCCTTGCAATAGAATTACCTTGGCTCTCCTGCAATTGGGCACTGTGCAAAGATGTAGGATTACCTCCTTTGTCCCATTGTTAAAGGCTGGTATGAAAACCACGGAAGAGGATGTGAATGCTGTAAGTTTGGGATTGGCAGCTTCCTGACCTTTGTAAAAAGCTCAGTGCTGTAACAGCCAGTGCAGTGCTGGCGAGGTGACAGGCTGGATGAATTAGCTGGTCTTTTCCATCTCTTGTGTGTCAGATTCTTTGTTTTATATGGAAATAATTTCTGTCAAAGTGGGAAATTTATCATGAGGTACTTCCTCCACCTGCAAAATGAAAATGTCAGCCACAGATCTATTTGAATGTGTCTTCTGTTATAAACCACTCGTGGAGCCAGCTCTGTCCATTGATAGCACCATTGTGTTTGCATGTTTTGACACAGTCAGGCAGCTCCACTGCCATGTGATAACAGAGTTATCCATGCTTCCCAACTGAATCAATTTTCTTCTGTGATGTCAGTATGGTGGCTGTGGCCATTTTTAAGGTGTATATATCTGTGTGCACATATGTCCATAAAATGTTGAATATTTTGCCATTGAGAAGCTGTGATGCCTCAAGCCCAAACTAATTTCTGTCTGTGTTTTAATGCTGATATGCCAAATAGTATAGGCTGTTAATACGAGCTCTCTTTGCTTAAAGATTTAACGTGTCATTATTTTAAAGGCTGGATGGATATTACAGCTTTATGGGTGTCTAATATATTAAGAAGGTATGTCGGGCGTTGTGCTGCTTTGCATTTTGATACATGTCAAGCAGTGAGTAATCCTGAATCTTGTCTGAGCAAAGATGGCTCTGGGATAATTGTTTTTTGTTTCTGATGGAGCAGTGCAATCATGCCATACAGCAGTTCATTTAAATACCATCGAGACAATGCACTTCTTGAGGTGAGATTTAAAGGAAGGAGGTTATAGCCCAGGTAGTGAGCCATCCCTGTCCGTGTGGACTTTGAAGGTGGAGCTATTGTCAGAGGCTATGAATGCTATGTTTAGGCTCGTGGAATTTGACAAGAGAAAGTGAAAATAACTGCAGACTTCTATTCCCTTCTTCAAAGTATTGCTAAGGGAAGTTTGGCAGAAGCTGGGACAGGAAATTGAAATCTGAATACTATTTTAAACTGATAGGGTTAAAGGCCTTTCTTTTACACTAGCACACTTGTTCTTTTATTTGATACTTGAACTCTGAAAATTTTCTGTGACTTTCTAGGGAGAAGGAGGAGCAGCTGACTCGGGTGACAGAGGTACAGAGGCTGCAGGCCCAGCAGGCAGATGCTGCCCTAGAGGAGTTTAAGCGGCAGGTGGAGCTGAACTCAGAAAAAGTCTATGCTGAAATGAAACAGCAGGTGAGAAGGTCACAATGCCAGCCTTTCTGAAACTCTGTCTCAGTAGGATAGCGTATTCTGATCTTATAATGCCAGAAACATGCTTCACTTGATAGTGCTACATCAAAATCTCTCACAATGTAGTGTCTTTGCTAGCAAGTCAAAAAGGGATGTTAGCGGTTGTTTCATCTTTCTAACAAAGCCAGAATTGTCATTGTTATAAAGGTATCTGCAGTTATGATACTGATTAGGGATTCTTCAAGAGTGACTCTATAAAGTGTTAGTTTATACACCCCTACAGAACAATGTTCGTAATTTTTCCACTTAATTGTGTGTCTCTTCCCACACTTTTTGGAGCGATTCTGCCTTCTGTTAATGAGGTGCTGTAATCAGTTTGAGCCTAAACAGGGGCAGAGCCATTGTGTCTGCTGTCATTCATGGGCAGGTAACAGTAAAACCCATTTTTCTGTCCCTGAAATTTAGTAGCAAGAGTTTATGTATAGAGATTTTAGTGCCTTAAATTCCTTATAGTTCAATAGTTCAGCCACTGTCTCTTGTGTTTTAAAGATGCAGCATGTGATGAATGAAATAAGGAATAAGTGATCAAAAAGGAGAGAACAGAGTATTTTCCGAACTAGTTCATGTGGTTGAAATCCCTGTATGCATCTCAAGCTTGTGATTCTACCTGTCCATATGCTCAGTTTTCCAGCTTCACTTACCATAACCAAACCTTGTTGTTGACACTGCTATGTGGTGGTGTACTGGTTTTCTGAGGATGGCAATGGTATGGGACAGTGGTGAAGTTTTTGTCAAAAAAGAAACAAAATAAGCCTCTCTCACAAAGCTACACTCCCATCCCTTACTGAAGAGCTGCCCAAAATATATATGTAAAGATTATTTGGTATATAAATAGCTCTATCTCTGAGGATATTGTTTGCTACTACCAAGCATCAGTGCAGCTCTCTGAAATAGTGTTTGTTTTAATATTCCTTTGAATGAGAAGAGCTGTCTTATAGGGAAGAGTTGTTTTACTGATACAGAAATGGAAAAGGGGTTAAATAACAGTTTCATTTGGATTTGGATAACTTAAAAAATCAATTGTCATTTAAAAAGTGCAGTAAATTTCATCTGAGAAAAGTGTTCTGGGACGCTTTGAAAATAAGATTTACTGTACTCCAGCAATCTGCAGTAGAGTTATTTTGTCCCTCATAGAAACAATAAGCTATACTTCACAACTGAGCAGTAGTGTTCTACAGGAAGCAAGGTTCAAAGATGAAAGAAGCAGTGCTGGGATGTCTTTGTAGCTTTGTCCCTTCCCGTTCTTCTGCACGTCCCTGCTCTTTGGAATCACCTATTAGATTATAACGTAGTGGGAAATTCTCTGCTGTTTTTTTGTGGTTAGGTGGAACGTATTACTTACAAATCAAAATCTGTAGTAGCTATAGCAACACTGCTTTTAACTGCACTAGGATGGGCTTCTAAAATCTTTTTTGTGTGTGGCGCGGTGAAGTTACTTATGGAGAATGGGCTGTGGCATTTTTGCTTCTTGTAATCAATATTTGATTCATTCATTTGGCTCAGTGATTTTTTTGCCATCTGCTTCCTATTTTGTTGAGTTTCTGATTACTAAGAGCCACCTGATGCCCCTCGATGGGTGAGCAGTACATTTTTAACTGCCAGATCTGCAGTCTTTCTGATAGTAGCTAAGAAAAAGTGTTTCTTGGGCTTGGCAAATGATGATCAGGAGCTTCCCTTGCACTTGTAGGAAATGTGAACCTTTGCTATTGATTGAAGATCATTAAGCCCTGTAGCGTTAGAGGATCTCTGCATATGTTTTTACTATCTCATGTTTTAGAATGTTTTCATTCTCTTGAAAAGTACTCCTTTAGTAAAAGATCAAGACCTTTTGTTTTTCTATGTTTATTGATCTTAGTGAAGTCTGGCTATGGAGGTGCAGCTCAAATTTGCAGGTGAAAGAAATCTTCATAAAATATTCACAGAGGCCCCTTTTCCTAATAGCAGATTGTAGTGAGGTTCAAGGATTGCTGAAAAATGGTCCATTTTGTTCTGGTTTTTTTCCTACATTGCCCAAATAATTCCTCGTCCTACACCTTCCTCTCTTGCTGCAGAATTTTCCAGGAAAACTCTTCTCTCTCTCTGACCGCTGCCTTTTCTCCTCTTTATTTGGCTTAGAAGTGATGTCCAGACCAACTGGCAAAGACATCTATTGAAGACACAGTGCTCCCTTAGGCCAAACAGAATTTTGGCTTGTGGTTCAGGAATTGAGGCGCTGCTTCTCTGTGCAGCAGATGGACGTGTGGCAGCAGTGTCCTCCTGACAGCTCTACTCCTTTTCCTTTCTGTCGCATGTAGGGAGGCGGTTTATTTGCTGCTTGTGTTGGGACCTGGATCTGAAATAGCTGATGAGTATTCACTGCAGCATAGCACTGTATACATATTCCCCTGGAAATATGCCTGATGCACAGCTAACAGTTGTGCTTTTGATACAAAAGCCTTTGTTAATTGGGTTATGAAATTGCTTCCTTGATGCTGTGTGCTGGAATGCTTGGGACTCATTATTCATAGGCGATGACTATCTTCAGGGAACTTTACTTGCAGCCAAATAATTCTCTTTTAAGTTATTTTACTGATTTAATGTAAACTTTAAATGTGTAGTTGGTGCGCTGACTCACGCGTTGCTTCTCTGGAACTTCCACAGGCAATGTATTTTTAAATGAAATATATTTGAGTCTTACGTTTGTCCATAAAAATATTCAGTTGATTTTAATGGGATGTTTACTGCTGTCAAGTGAGAAACAGCCTTCACTCTGTGATCAGAGAATGACATCATAAGTGCCTTTAAGTTACTAATAATGCTGTATTCACTGAATATTCATCTTTACTCCATACAAATAACACTATTGTTATTCTCAGCAGGTTCTGTTCAGGTCTTTGATGGTTTGCAAACAACTGTGAAAACGCTGGAATGCTATGCCTTTAAAAATAAATAAATACCTTTTATTTACCATGTAGATGGAAAAGGTTGAAGCAGATCTAAGCAGATCAAAAGTGCTCCGGGAAAAGCAATCCAAAGAATTCTCCTGGCAACTGGAAGAGCTCAAGCAGAGATACGAGCAGCAGGTCAGTCAGCTTGCTCCTTCGGGCACAGGGGAGCAGGGGCAGGTGGAGCTCTTCTCCTGTGGCTAAATCCTGCTCTCACTCTGTGTTGCTATTCTTCCTATAACAACAGAGTTTCTAGGTACACAGAGTTTGCGGGGGGGGAGGATGGAGGAGAGGCATTCCAAATGAAAAATATTTTTGTTTCCCATTTGCAATCCTTTGTACATCTGCCTCTTGCAAATTGTTTCCGAAGCTTACAGGTGGCAACACCTATTTTCATAATGGCCAGGTGAAAATATTTCAGGTGTTATCTGCTTTTCTTCTTGCTAAGGAACAGTGTTTTGATCTTTTTATCATTTTTAACATGGTGAGTGTTCATATAAATGTTTCTTTTGGCCCACTGCTAGGGATTTTCTGTATTGCAATGTAATTTCAGGGTTGGGAACCTGTCAGGAAATATCTGGGTGGAAGCAAGAAAATGCAGTGCATCAGTGTTGTGAAGTGCAAAGGGAAAAGATAAATAGAGGCAGATCAATTATTGCATGTCATAGGCTTGAGAGCCGTGGAGCTAGCACAGATGTGTAAGGTGGTGCCTGGTAACATCTGTTAAGATTGAAATCCTTTTTTTCATTACTTTAGGACAACTGTACAGCGGTACAGCAGTGATGCAATTAGCCCAAAAGCTTAAAGCTATCTCTTATCAGTGTTTTTATGTGGATAGAGGTTTACATTTCCAGCAGGGAAATGCAGTTTCATTTCCTGACAAAGTTTATTTTCCATGCTGGTATGGGAGTGGTGCAGGATTGCTGTATTCCATTCAGAAGGCACTTCTTTGAGTAACTGAGGAATTGGGATCATTCTGAGGGTGCTGAGACCGATCATAGCCAGTGTTTGGGAGAACCTAGAGTGTATGTTGTGCATAACTCTCCAGTTAAGCTTGAATTGAAGAGTTTGTTAATTCAGGTCAAGGTATTTTCCTTATCACTCATAATTGTCAACAGTACTATTTGTGATGTCACCTAACAGAGGATGCAAAGCTGTCCTGCGTAGCAATGAGATGCATCTGCTTGTTTTGTGTGTGGATGGTAACACTCATGGCTCTTCTATTGCATGAATCAGGAGCAGTCCAACCTGCAGCTTTGTTGGGACTTTTGCTCATGGATTTCTGTACAAGATGATGGGCCCATTTGTCAGAAGAGCGGGGAGAATTTCATTTCTCTTGTAATTCAGCAGAACTTCTCGAGGGCTAGAAATCAGAAACACGCTCCTTATTAAGGAATCACTCTATTTGTTTATTTTTTTTATTTGTGTGAAATGCAATGCAATAAATGCTTGCATTGAAGGTGAAGTTCAATGTCAATTAAAGGACACATTGAAGGAAGGATGATGGGAAGCATTGGATGGGTGGTGTCCACCTGAAAGTGAACATTTTCGTGGAGTATTATGTTCCCATCACTCTGGTAGCATGATGGTTTCTTTTTTTCTCTACAACTCTCAAAATTGGTGGTATGTTTTTAAAGCCACATGTAAGTATTTATTCGAAGATTCTGTTCCCACATCTAGGAATGTGATCTGTAATTATGAACACTAAGCTGCAGTTCATAAGATGCTGCAACATTTCTTCTTTCTATCAACAAATGGTCATTTATTTTTCACTGTATATGAGAAGAGATAATGAGCCACAGATAGAATTTTCTGCCAAATACTCGCTCTTTTGTGCACTTAGGGAAAGTGACAGTGCTTAATTTCACGGTTTGGTTTTTATTTATTTTCTTGTACCTTTCTGCCTCAAATTTGGAACTCCTAAATGCTGGATCAAAAAGCAAAAACAACCCAAAAAGCAAGCAGTGAATGTGGTGGTTTAAACTTTTTTGATGAATCATTTTACGTTTGTATTCTGCAACAATGGGGATATTGTGGTTGATATCAGTGAAAACATTTTCCTCCAAAAGGAGCTTTTTGCTGCTTCAATTTGATTTCATTTGAGATGTCCAGCAGCTCTTTGTTAGGGTGATATGTAGCCTTCATGAAATAACACTGAAACACAGGGAAAGGGCTTCAACACTGAACAGCTAAACAAGAGCTTCAGAAGAATCTTCATAGGAATCCTGCATTTGCCCCATTATTTTTCCATTTCTGATCATGCTTCATTTAGAATGTTCTTTGAAAGCTTGCAGGCATAAAAAAGGTGACCCTTTCTGCAGACTGTAACAGGTTATCATTGTAAACTGCCCTCTTTTGCATTGTCATTTCTGCAATATAAAACTCCTTCAGCACACCACAGCATGGTATGAGCTCAGTTCTTCCACTCTTAAATTTCCTTTCAGTAGTTCCAGTAGCTCTCAATGTTTCAGAAATTCTAAGATTGTAAAAAAGATTGTAAAGCAGACATTTCCTTGCCTTGTTTTACTACATGCTTCTTCAGTTGTTACTTGTAGAGTAATAGGCTGATTTAGACTATTTAAATTGGGCAGTAAATTAGAATTGGTGGCACGTTTCAGCATGGCTCCAGCAGACTTCCAGTCCTGAAATAAGCACCCAGCTACAAACAGGATACTTCAGCTCTCTGAGAAATGTAGTGATTGCTTTAGATGTTCTGCCTCAAGTGTCTAAATGATATTATAGAACAGAATTTATACAGACAGAGAAGGAAAATTGAGCTTCAGGTTTACTTGGGGCGGGTTGGCATGGAGTGGCAGAAGCACTGGTAGCTTGCAAGACAATTCTGTTGTCCATATATTAAGTGGAGTTGATAATGAAAACCCAAATGATGTGGTATTACCTCCTCCAACCTGAGAAACATTTTGGAAGTGTAAGAACTTGAGAGCCGTGGTTTTCTCCATCTGCTTTCTATGAATACTTGCCAGTGCTTCACTATAATCTTCAGAATTGATTTCAGAGAGATTACAGATGTGCATCTGAGCTGCTGCTAATGGGGCTGAAAGATGTCCCTGCCTGCAAATAAATATCGGCTTATTGTGTGTGTGTGAAACTTCTCATCTTTTGTTTGAAAAATTAGGAAGAAGGTCCAACGAAATGACGGACGTTAACGTTTTTTTCAACTTTTCCAGTTTCCTTTTGAATCTTTGCTTTTTTAGAAGAAGAAATGAGGGGATCTTGCAGCACTTTGTTTCAGCTGTCACGTGTCGGTACTGCGTTCCAGCTTCATCTGATTCAGTGCCACTCTTTTGAAGTATCCACTGAGAACGCTCTTAGAGAGAAGCTGGTGGGTTTTTTCTTTAAATATACTTTAGCTCAACTTTGTTCTACTTGCAGCTGTTAGATTTGAAAGTATATTTTGAAGGGAAAAAAAATAACTCCAACAGTACCACAGTTCCTATCTGCTGGGAGCAGCTGCTTGCGGCACTTCAAAGCCAGTGGACACCACAGTGAAGGCCTCAGCCTTTCCTGCCTTTGAAATGGTTGCAGTATCTATAGTCAGGCTTTATGGCACCATCAGCACAGGAAAAAAGGTTGTTTGGTTCTTTGGTTTTTTGCAAACCCCCCACCCTTTTTTTCTTCTTTTTCTTTTCTGCTTTCTAATGACATTCTCAGCTTAGCTCAAAATACCTGGGAAGAGTTTCTGCTGCGATCACTTTCTATTAGTTTAAATGTCTGAAAATAAAGTCTGCAACCAAATCTGGCTGTAACAGATTTTAGGCAGGAAATGTTGCTGCAAAGTAATGCATATGGTTCTTCCCTGCGTGCAACATGCTGCAGCTCTCAGAGCAAGGTGTGATTGCACAGCAGAGCACTCGTGATGGAGCACAGCTTTGAGCGAGGACACTTCCCAGTGCGGTGAAGCACATACTCACTTTTGTTTCAAGCAGACCTTAATAAATTTTCATGAATTGAACCCTTTCAGTGGCTTTTGGAGATGCTCTTTTAAATGCTATTTGTTTGCATTTGTCTTTTAAAAAAATAATTGTGTAATAGATCACTCCAATCGCAGTTACATCCATTTATTAGGTGTTGCTGAAGTGCTACAACTGAGGGATTGTGTAAAAGTTGACATATGAGGCTAGTGAGAGAGCTGAAGTCCGTGATGTTTCTTATTCTCAGCAGAGAACACGGAATGAAAAAGCTGCTGAATTGCTGTAGGAGGATGGTGCTCCTTGCTGAGCTGTGGATGCTCTTTGAAAGTGGGCGCCAACCTGGATTTCTAAATAAACTTTTCTCTGGGCTTTTTTTCTTTGTGTTTATTTCATTTTAAAATAATGATTATTCATCCTTCTATGACAAAGTGGAAAGCTAGGAAAAGTATTACGTGGTAGCTGAAGAATCTCCTTGTATCTCAGGAAATCCTTTCTTGAGGCATTTATTGTTGAGTGCTGACTTCTGTAAAACTTGTGAAGGAATAATTAGAGCAGGCTTCTTGCTCTGTTTAGCCAAACAGTAGAGGCAGAGCACCTTCAGAGATGTTTTACTGGGTGTTTTACAAAATCTCTTTGAAATTATGGTAAAGATGAGAGAACTAGTTTGGGCTTTTAAGTCTAGAGCAAGACAAAGGTGTGGTTGAGCTTGGATGTACCTTTTATATAAAAGGAGAGCTAAAGAAATGCAGAATCAGCTGGTTAACAGTGGAAAAAAGCATGACTGTAGTCTTACCTGCCAGCAGCAAGGGTGAGAATTTGAGGTAGAGATGAAGTTGTTCTTGTTGGAGCAGTGTGCTGGAGCAGAGGAAAATATTATGTGAAGAGGAAGAATATTCTTAATGGCTTTTTTAATATAACTTCCCAGTGAAGGCAATGTGAAGAAAAGAGCACAGCTTCCTCAGAGGTAAAATACGACGTTTTGTAATCATGGTCATTGTTTTGTACAGAGGCGTAGATTTAAAAACCAACGTCTTCCACAGCATTAGCAGTGCCATTTAATATTAAGGCTATAAGTGCAGGCTCATGCTCAGTTTCTTAAAAATATTCTAAAGCTTAATTGAGAATTAATGGTTTTGCATCTTCCCCTCCTAATCTTTCGCTGTTCAACTTTGTGCCAAAAGATTTTGCCAGTGTTTGGGTGATTAA